CATCGCTCTTTGCTCTAGTGAAGATAAACCACTGGCTGAAATGTCTTCAGAATCCAGCACACACAATTTATAATAGACTTAGGCCCTCCAAGTAAACTGAACAATTAGTTTTTCTTTTATAATTCAGCTCTTTACCTTCCAACAGAGAATACTGTGACCTCCCCAGGATGCACCTTCCCCTTGCTGTCCTTTGAGCGACCCATGCGGTGCAGCAGGTTCCTTTTCTTACGAGTACAGTGAATGCAGGGAGCCTGTGATGAACCGTGAACCGTATGATGGTGGGAAGGACCAGCGTCCTGGCTCTCACGGTGTGGACAAAGACTAGTTATAAGAAGGTAAACATAATAGTTATAATTGTATCCAATACTGAAAATGTCAAACTCATGGTGGGAGATCTTTTATAACTGTTAACCTATAGGAACTAGTAAGATGTACCCTTTGTTTCCGAATGTCACTTTCCTATGAAAGTTTTATTTATATTGGTTTGTAACAGGCAACACATTGGGGTGCATTGATAAATAATTTGCAGAGCCAGCCATCCTGCAAAACAGCATGTACATTTCGTGTGTGCAAATGGGGGCAAAAATGCATGTTATTATTATATTTTTTTCCGGGTTGAATGGAATATCAGGAAAATACCACATTATGACCACTAGATGGAGCTGAGGAGCATAGGAAATTAAACATCTATGTGGTAATGCGTATTTGCCTGATATTACATGTAATCTGGAAATAAAAAATACTAATAGCATACAAGTTTGCCTCCAATTGGACACAATAAATTTACATGCAGTTTGGCAGGACGAATGGCTCAGCAATTGTTTTTATAAATAAATTCCATCCTGTTCAAATTTTTGACATGCTGTGTAGTAAAAGCTGCACAGTTATTTGTCTCAAGAAATCCTAAAGAAGAATCAACCACCTCTTTAGGATACCAATATTGGCCACATGTATTCATCCCATGTAGCCTAGCAGGGAAATCAAGGTTTCTGGAACCTAGGGCTCTTGCAGATAATAGTATGTACGAATAGTATTGACAAAGTCACAACTGACGAGAGAGAATATCTGTCTGACCTATCTGGCACCAAAAAAAGCTTGTTGCAGTTCAGCAAAAACACAGCAGAATGTTGCTTATGTGTGCCTGGAGGGGCTTCTTTGCACCTTCTGTGCATTGTGGAGAGCCTGTGGTCCTGCAGCCAGTTGCTATATACTGTATTTGTTTGGAGCAGTGTAATTTATACACATCTGCATTTGAAATTCAAATATAAATGAAATATCACTTTTGGGTGAACAGGCACTTTAAGATATTTTTAGACCACATCAATTTATTTATTTTTTCTTTCGGTTAGATCCCAATACAGATCAATAATAATATGATAAAGAGAGTGCCTCAGACAAAACATTTGTAGAATTCATTATGTAATGATATCATTAATTAATGACTGAAAGGGATAAGCAGCAAGAATAGAGAATATAGAATCCTCTAATTAATCCATGATGGCTAGGATGCAAAGAAAATTAAATATTCCCAATACATTAATCCATTCATTAAGCATGATTTGATTTAAAAAAACAAATATGCAGCAAAAAAAGAAATCAATCATGGGTAACAAACAGCATCAAAATTCAATGCAAACACATATCAAAGATCATATAATATAACTGTCCATATTTAAAAAATGTCTAAAAGAAAAACTTTTCTGTATGTGTTGCCACACACTTAACTTTCCCAATGTACTATTGGGAACTTGAAAGCAAAATTTCAAAGGCACAATGTATGCGTTTTACAGGGACAGGAAGTAAGGAAAAATCCCCCTAGTTAGCCCAACTGAAGTCTCACACCCTTTTACATCTTTATAGTCCTGTACACCTTGTGGCAGTGCATGGCAATGCCTCCATGTGGTTCGGCAACTTTGGCACCCAGGACTCGCAGCCAGAGGGGCTGAGAGGGTCCAGAATGTGAACCATTTCATAAAGAAGAACCTGGCTTTTCAGATTCTTCCGGGTTTTCCTAATTGTAGCTGGGATCTGGAGCTCTGGAGATTTCTTAGGGCTCTGGGTGGGATTTAAATCTCCAGTCCTGGGGCCAGGTGTTACCAACAACCAGTCTGGGATGATTAGGTAGCTGAGAGCAGCCTCATTAAGAAGCCAGACCAGAGCTCAGAGGAGGGGTGGTGTGGTCTGTGCCAAGCCAGGTGCTGTGGTGGCGCCACACAAGAAACAGCCAGTGTGGCTGGAGGATTTGACAGACTGAGAGAGCCAGGCACACAAGGTGTGTGGAAAGCTGCTGGAAGCGGCCACTTCCACTTTAATGTTCTACGTTGGCAGAGCTGATTAACTGCCACACCCGTCTTTACAAGTGTCCAAGTGACTTGTCATGTAGAGGTAGAGAGGGGGTGCGTTCAAGTTCATCACTGAGTGCTGATTACTAAAAACACTGGGTTTAACTCTATTGCCTATTGCATCGCACATTCGGGGCACTCTGCACAACTGCTATAAAAGGAAAGTGAAGGTAAGACTATGAAAATGATGGTTGCTAGTACGATGTTCATCTGATTGTAGACTTTAATTTCACTTTAATGAATAAGGTCCAATGTACACATGGTTGTAAAGACTAAGATGTCATGATGTGTCACCACTTCGCCAAAAACAGATTTCTCCTTTTATTACATTAGAGCGGTCAGAACAATGAAAACTATCTCTAAAGTACTTTGACAATTTAGGCCAACGCAGTCCAACTCAATTCTGTTTGAGGAACTAAACAGATAGGTCGCAGGCCTACCAGATTATATGAAACACAAAACCACTTTACCAGCTATAAATATATTTAGGGTGAAAAACTGGAAAAGCCTTTTTAAATATTAAATTATTGATACTGTGAATCAAATATTCAAATTTTACACTTAATTCTTCAGAAGGCTCCAGAATGTGTCTTCTGACTATTTTAGCAGAACTTAAAGTCAGACTCTAGCCAAAAATGTTTTAAGATACATAGGGAAAGGTTCACCATCGATTTTACTGCTGTCTGTTGGGGCCCACAGTGGATGGACTTTTCATAGGAATGAATGGAGTCTGAAGTGCGCATGCATGGCAGCATAGATTGTCAGCGGATGTGCAGCTTTCAGTGGGCTCCTCTGTGGTGTATGGACAGGCTAGTGTAAGAGGGTGCAAGAGAGAAGGAGGTGTTAAGGGTATTTTTAGCCTTTAATCCAAAGAAGCTAATCAAACCTAGTTTTTCATTGCTCTTACGTAGGAAAACAACATTGGTAGCTACAAGCTTTTGCTCTTTGCAGATCATCACCAGTATTTTCTCTGCCCTATTAAATAAGTCTTAGAGTGTTTTATTACCGAACATCTTGCATACTGATAAAGAATGCATGCTCACTTGGGGATGATGGGCACCTCTCCTTCTGTGTCCCCCAGCATCTGTTTAAGTGCTTCTGCATTTGCTTAAGTGGAGAAAAAGAAAAACAAGAATATTATGAAGTACCTGTAGACTTCATTAGTGAAGAAAAACACAATACCAACTACAAGTTCTTACCTTCATTCTGTATAATGCACTTGACTATACGTTCAACAGTGTCTTCATTCGAGATCTCATCTGTGACTATACACAAGACAAACAGATAAGTACTGTTCATACAATACCTAAACACATTGGTGCTAAAAACGTGCATTTAATAGATTAAGTATGTATGCCTAATAATAATAATTAAAAAACGGCTGCTTATTCCTTCATATTTTATTATTGCCTCCAATCACTTCACATCTCTTCACACCGTTATTATCATAATTCATATACATAGTATTGGATATCTCCCCACGTAACACACAGCTTCTTGCACTGCTACTCAGTACAGGCTCTGTCTACGGCCCTGACTCATCAAGCTGCAATTTTACTTAACTCATGCATTGCTAAATAGAAACGTAATCCTGTGCTGAGAGGTATATGGAATCTGTAATTACTGGCCGCCTTCAAGAATGCTTATTGCAAGCCAGCCTGCCAGCCAGTGAAGTGAGAGCTCCTTATTTGCATACTTATTCTGGGTCAGTGACTTGTCAAGTACTGACAGCCATGACAGCCAGGCAGCTAGTATTATGAGGAAAGCATCTACATTTCTCTCATTGCAAGATTCTTTTAATGCCCTGGATCCCGAGCTGCAGCCATATGCACCCCCTTAGTATTTTTGATGAAGCCCTGGCCCCAGCAGCCAGCATTTAGGCACATTCTCTGCTTAGGTACATACTAATGAAATAATTTTTTTATTTTTTAAGAATTATCTTTATTGATCTTTTATAATGGATCATGATCACAGGCCTATACAATATGGCAACAGTGATGTTTAAGGGGCCGAATGGAGCAGAAAATAGGGAGCAGTGGTAGTATTGATTTGTAAAGGATCTTTAGCAGTTTGACTTCTTCCTGCATAGTATGTCTACAGTCTGACTTTCTCCGCTACATGCCCACAAATCTCTACCTGTCTCCTGCAGCATACTCCAACCATTCCTTTAGCATGAATGCAGTCTCTGGCCATCTACTATAATATGTTCACAGTCCCTGACAGGTTTCTGTAGCATTAAATATACGAAATTCTAAGTGCAGCCCTTTATAAATGTCAGGAGCTGCACTTGCCTAAAAGGACATGTAATATACCTGGTTGATAGGCCACTTTAGAATGCATGCAACATACCCTCAGGTGCTTGAGATGAAGCCTAAATGTTTCTTAGGAACATGTGATGCAATCCGAGAAGGAAATAAACTGTAAGCTGGCTTCATATTGTCATATGGCTGATCTGACTACTGACAAGCAATAAAGTCCTTCAACGTTTTTCCAAGGCCCTCAAACAGTTACCTTAGATTTTGTGCCCGCTTTAACTATATCACAGTTTTGTTCACCTCTCCCTCCTTCTTTTAACTGACAGTGTATATATCATGTTAGGATATGTCAATACTTCATTACTTTCCTGGTATGTCAGGATGCACAAGCTCTTCTAGTATTTCAGTAACACTCTTTATTTATAGTTCTATACAGCACTCTTGGTCTTTTCCCTTGTGACAAAGGCAAAAACACTTGTTCACACCAATTATAGTGCGTTCCAGAGCAGTTAGCTGCTGGAACGCACTGTACCGCAAACTAAACTCCTCCCTGCATTCTGGGGCGGGAGGGGGCGTGGCTGTGCATTTAAGTCAATGGCACCACAGCCACGCCCCCTGCCTGCAGTGGGATCTCCCGCACCGGAACGCATGCCTGCATTCCAGTCCAGTGCGATTGAAAAAAAATGCTGCATGATGGAGCGCACTGTAATTGGTGTGAACAAGCCCTTAGGGGTCTATTGATATAAACATTTGCACAGCTATTCATGCAGTGAAACTGCATGTGCCTTTGTTTTGTGCAAATTAACTAGATTTTGTGAGAATGGGACACAATCAATTGTTCTTAGGCTATTTTCTCTTCGGGTCAAATGTTTTTCAAATAGTATGGGCTTTGAATCAGGAAGATACTGTGCTATGGACACTAGATGGAGCTGATGAGCATAAAAAATAAATAGATCTAAGCACAAGAGGTACAATCTAACAACTCTAGTGATCACTGGAGGGAATTAACTGATAAATGTAACTTGCTACTATAAGAAATAGCATTATCATTTAAAAAAAAAATAGAACCCTTAAAGTGACACTAAACTCAGGAGTTAAACCTTAAAAATGCATTCAAGTACCTTAACTATTAACACAAATGTAACTTATTTGTGTATCACTCAGCTGTAGATCCTCAAATCATTTCTGGATTCATGCTGACACTGTCCTTCCTTCTGGAGGGTGGCTACTTTTGTTTCCCTTTGTGTGTTGTAAAGTAACCACCACTCTAAGCTTGAGGCTGTGATGGACTACAATCTCATGTTTAGTTTACTATTTTAGTTTTAGATTGTAGTCTATCTCGGGAGTGAGCTTGGAGCGGTGACTACTTTACAACACACACAGGGACCATGAGGAACAAAAGTAGCCACCCTGCAGAAGGAAGGACAGTGTCAGCACCAATTCAGAGATGATTTGATGATCTATAGCTGAGTGACACACAAATAAGGTACATTTTTGTTAATAGTTAAGGTACTTGAGTGCATTTTTAAGGTTTAACGCCTGAGTTTAGTGTCACATTAATGTTTAACACTGTGATAATCAGGTGTTTTCTTAATGCATGATGCTATGTGTCACAAACATTTAAAAATCTGCTGTGGTGTGTCACACCATGAAAAAGGTTGGGACCCACTGCCATTATGCAAAAAAATAAATACTGTATGCTTCACATGTAAGGAACAATTTTTGGCTACTGATATACTTTAACAACCAAACAAAAATATTTATAGAAAGGTGCAGTTATAAACATGTGAGCAGTAATGATTCACACAAATTTTTAGAACTGTGAAAAGGTTTAAAGTAGAACTCCATTGTCCAATGTGTCCACAAATAAAAAGCAGCTTTTACTACAATGATCACATCCTGCTCTGTCCATCACTGTCTGCCGAAGACACTGGCGAGTCAGCAGCCGGTTTTATTCATACAGTGTAGACCGTACCCGGTGAGCCCATGGGGATGCATCACAATTAGGGCTGGAACTAACAATCATTTTCATAATCGATTAGTTGGCCGATTTTTCAATTAATCGATTAATCAGATACAATAAAAAAAATGAATACCATTTATTTAAAATAAAATACACAAATGCAGCATTACAGACAGAGGTTTACTTCAGTAATAAAACGGTATGCATATTTTTTGAAATCGCACTGCAGTGGAACGCAGGGCATTGCAGTACCACGCATTGCAGAGCGGGCGATCACACACAAGTGTTCATGGGGTTGGGGACTTTAAACATTTTTTTTAACTTCATTGCTATCACATGGTGGGGTTTACAAGCCCCCTATGTGATAGCACATTGGAGGTGTCAGGTTCTTTTTAAGGTGACATTAGGGGTCTTTTTGACCCCTAGTGTTACCTTTCCACTTCACTGGGGAATGAAAGCTGCCTGCTGAGCCAGCTGAATGTCAACACAGCATGCAGTGGCTTTGAGCAATAGCTAGCCTGCTATTGGCTATTTGACATTGAAATAGCGAAAAGCAGGCTGGCTATTGCACCCACCCACTGCCTGCTGTCAATCAGCAGAGGAGGGAACTGAAGGAGAAAGTTCTCAGGTTCTATTCTGCTGATTGACAGTAGGCAGCGGGCGGGTGCAGCGGTGGAACGTGGCGGGCAGTGGAGGAACGCGGCAGCAGCCAAGGAACAGGGCGGGCAGCAGGGGCACGGGTCGGGCAGCAGAAGCATGGGGTGGGCAGAGGAGGAACAGGGCAGGCAGCTGAGGTAATTATAATCGATTTTATTGATTAGTTGTTTCAGCCCAAATCAGGATGTCAGTGTGAGCTCACAGTACCATACAGCAGATAATATCACTGACATCATAATGTTAGCCACACTCTCTGCAGTACACTGCCCACGAAAAAAAGACCAAGAGGAAAACATATCCAGTGTGTCACATGACTGGCCAGAAGACCCTGTATAAAAAGGTATACAGTTTTTAAAAAAATACATATTTGGGGAAGGAGGGGGGTCTAGGGAGCAGAAAGGTTATTGTTCAGGGTTTTCATTAACATTTTCCCCCTCCCCTTGGATATTTTATGGAGACACTGACCCCCTTCTTTTTCTTAAATTATTATATATGTGTTTGTTGTATTTAGTACCTGGAAGTTCTGACACTCAACTGCACCAAATACCTTTCCTTTTGTTTATTTTAAATTGTAGTGTGTGTGATGTTGAGCTTTTTTTTTTTTGCTCTGGCCCAGTCCCCCTGTCGCCATTTTCACCCAGTGCTTCTGCTCCCTCAAACGCCTAGGATATTCCTGTCACCTATCTAAGGAGGCTGTAGGAACAGGAACACACAGCGGCTGGAGGGCAGACTTGACCACATGATTCTGGGGTCGGCTGCAGATCTTGTAAGAGACAGTCAGCACCCAATGATGTCAGAGTAGAAGATGGCAGCACGGGATAGTAGTGGCTTGGCAAATCATAGCATTAGTAGCTGGATTCACCTGGCAGGTTTGTATGTTTTCTGGTGAGAACCCAGCATAACAGGTAAGACAGATAGGGGGAAAAAAGGGGGGGGGGGTTTGAAGCCCCACAGCGGGCGATTACTGTTTAGATACAAGCAACCCGTCGTCTATACAGATGCCAGATCACTTGTATGGTGCGGCAGAATGCGTGCCCCCCCTCCGCCGGCTTTCCCTGGCTTCACTGTCCCTCGTGCGGGCCTGGGACCAGCACGGTTTGTTAGCCCCTTATGTGATGGCAATAAAGTTAAGTGTCAAAAAAAAAAAAATGAAAGTAACATATAAAAAAATATAAAAGATGGAATTTAAAAAAAATAAAATAACCCGCCCCCCACGTGCACACACACACTGTCGGGTGCGCCTACATGCAAAAGACGGAAATTGCGCTAATTATGTTACATCTTGCCGCGAACGTTGGAGTGAGAGCAATAATTGAATCACTGTTAACGCTAAACTGATGAGCAGTAAAAACTTTTAAAGCGTCGCTTACGGGAAATTTTGGGTATTTTAAGGCTTGACATGTTTGGTATCTATTTACTCAATGTGACCCCAACTTTTATATTTCACAAAAAAATTGGGTATTGAATTCTGTTTCTGTGCACTAGACTACATTTTAGTGTATTTTATCCTAAAAAATACTGGTTTGATAAACATTTTGCGCAAATACCGTGCAGCATAAAAAATTGCAACTAGCATTTTTTTTTTATTCTATGGGGTCTCTTCTTTCAGAAAATATATAATTGTTTTCTAGCCAAAAATTCAGATTTTATCTTGTGTCTGCAAATATGAAGAAATTGCTCCAGACAGCAAGTGGTTAATTTATCTGTGCTTTTAACTGATTTTTTGACTTATTGAAAGGGTAATTTTAATGGAGAAATTGTGATCATATCATATACATTGTGTAAACAGGCTGAAGTGGTCAACTGAGCTTTTATTTTTAGGGGAACTGAAAGTAATGAATATTTTCAAAAACGTTTAAACAATGTTATAATTTCCAACTTTTTTATAAAAGAAAACCAAGGTATATTCTAGCCTCAGCCAAAGCATGCCAGATCCATCCACACATCCGCTCCTCTTTACTTACATTTTCACCTGAAACTTTGATTACTCTGTAAACATTGAAACAATAAAAATGGCATAGCTGTCCATGTGTCATACTTACTTTCCTGTTCTCTACTCAAACAGTCCTTCATCTCAGGGTCCAGCTCCTCAGGTGATGTCCGACATCGATAGCCTTTCTTCTTCAGGATATGACAGATCAGAATGCCGACAAGTCCTGTAATGAAGAAGACTACAACCAGCAGGAAGAGCATGTACGGGCTCTGCTGTTCATTTGGTCTCTCATCCACTGTCTGATGTTCTACCATGTTGATCTGTAAAATGGAAAACAAATGGTCTTTAGAGAAAAGGATACTTATGGGGTCAGAGGTCAAAACACAAAAACTGGAGATCCTACAGCTTTATGAAATGTTAAAATATTACCACCACCTGAAACAACACTAACATTAAAGGACCTCTATCTCAATAAAAAATTTCTGCTTTTGGCTATTGCACGTTGAAATAGCCAATACCAATCTAGCTATTAATTCCTATACTGTGTTGTTTTTTTTTTACTCTGACGGCAGGAGCTGTGGAGATTCCCCCTCTTTTTGTCCTTGCACAAATCCAAAATTTTACACTAGAACACCAGATTAGCAGGTGAGAAGAAATCGTCCAATGGGTACACCAGTTCTAGACAAGAGGATTTCCTTTCACTTTGGAGAGATTTCCTCACTCCCTGTTATATCTGTAAAAAATAATTCAAGGCAACTGGACTTGCTGTATTTTTCTTGAAGACGTTCCACTTGTCATCCGACCAGCTTTCTCAATTCAGAATGACTTGTACAAACATTCTGTGGGAATAAATATGGTGAATGTTGCTCCAATCCACATAATCTGTTAGTCGCAACCAGGTGTTGCTTTCATTTGCATAATTGGAGGTAGGAGGTGTTAATAACTTGCCCAGAGAGAGGTGTTAAAACAGCATTGTATGTGACAGACAATAGATGTCTCACCCCCACCTCTATTCAAGCTTGGCTTCTCCATTTTTAGATAAATGGCCTCTTTCACACCTCTTTTAAACCAGTCCTCCTCCCTGTCTAGGATGTGTGCTTGACTGTATTCAAAGGCGTGACCTTTTACCTTTAGGTGTAGGTATACTGCCGAATCCTGACCAGAAAGTTTGGCTCTTCTATGCTGTGCCATACGCTGGTGTAGCTGCTGTTTTATTTCACCAACATACAATTCTGAGCACTCCTCACTGCACTGGACTACATACACAATGTTGTTCATCTTGTGTTTTGGCGTTGGGTCTTTTGGGTGAACCAGCTGTTGCCTCAGTGTATTGCTGGGTTTAAAGCAGACAGAGATGTGATGTTTTTTTTAAAAACCTTCTAGCTCCAATTATGCAAATGCAATCAACACCTGTTTGCGACTAACAGATTATGTGGATTGAAGCAACATTCACCATATTTATTCCCAGATAATTTTTGTACAAGTCATTCTGAATTGAGAAAGCTGGTTGGATGACCCGTGAAATGTCTTCAAGAAAAATACAGCAAGTCCAGTTGCCTTGACTTATTTTTTTACAGATATACCATGACCTGGATAAATGAGAACCTTCACAGACATATTGCGACTCACTACCTGTTGTTTGTTTGAGAATGGAAGTGAAAAGAGATCTCTCAAATGGTACACACACACACACACACACACACATAAAACAAGGTCTTAACTCATTCAAGAAAAAGATTCTTGACCTGAGCACATGCTTTAAAAGGAGCATTTGATGTCTACATCTATCTTCCCACATACTGTATCTTAACCTGATCATTTTAAAAATAGCTTAAAGAATCATCGCTGACCCATTTTATGAATGCAGCCCGGAGTGTTTTATGATTGTCAGCCATAAACTATTGTTCACATAAAACGAGAAAGACTTCAAAGGTTTCCCCTGCTCATTCAGATTATTCTTTCTTCTCTGCTGCGGATGTTTAATCACCAAATTATGCACTTCCTCTGGAGAAGAATGAAGTGTTCCATAATCCATATTATGTCTACGCACTAAGGCAAGAAAATGTATTCAGGGAATAATTATTTCATGACAGTGCACATGGCATATGCTTTGTCAACAAGGACAGAGTATTCTTCATTGTTATATGCAAAGGTCAACTCCAACAAACTGGAACTCCTAAATCTGCTCATCTGATATCCAAAATCAGCCCAACTATTGCTGTAACTACACTTCTTTATAATCAGTAGTAATCAAAGTTCTCTGGTCTGCAGACTACATGTAAATCAAGTCACACATGCTATGGACCAACCATTCCACTTCTACATTCCCTTCTTGTTCTAATGGTGAATGTGAATGACTGTTAAAGGCTTTTTCCTCTTCTGGCGGACTTGACACTTAGGGTCTGATCTATAAATCTTCGGCCAAGTGTTTAGCTTGGTGAATACCATTTGCATGACACTACTGCCATTAGATGGTACTGATGAGCACTGGAACTTCCTATGCTCCTCAGTGTCATGTAGTGGTGGCATTCACCCAGCGTTATGCTGGGTGGAAGAGTTATGCTTACAAAACAGCTGTTTTCTCTACAATCCATTCCCCATTGCTTTTCTTAAGATAAATAGGCAGGTGGGGAGAAATCAAGACATAAAGGGTAAAACCCCCACTATTTTACAACTTTAGGATAAAGTGAGTGGATTGATCTTGGAGAGTTTAGTTATGTTTGGAAGTTTCAAAGAAAATAGAGCCTTTGGCACAGATTCCTGCCGGAATGCTGCTGCTCACAGCTGTCCAAGGTACAGTATGTCAAGCTGAATGAAATATTTACATTAGAAATGCAACATACTGGGAGGATTTTAAAGGCATGCTTTAGTGGGAACACTTTAGATTTCAGGGCTTGAATTCATGCAAAGAGAAGTCTTATAATGTATACAATAAATTTGTATTCCTGGTTTTAGAGATGGCTCCATGCCTGCAAAAGAGATAGTTTGTGCTGCATTTCTTTTTTGCTCACCATACAGTAAGCTCAGCTAAGCAAAGCTAGGCACCAATGGGTAACCCAAGTTTATGTATGGCGGAAGTATGTGAAATGCATTTGTTCTTCAATTTTTTGCTATGAATATTTGTTTCTTTATCTGAGAAATTGAGATCAGTTGTATATCTAAGTCTGTGCTTCTCAACCTGTGTAACCTCAGGACCCACATTTCTCCTTGGTCATTAAGTCGTGACCCAAGTTGCACTGCAATGCAAATCATGGCATTGCGGCACCGCACGTTCCGATGCGGGCAATAGAACTGTGGCTGGTAGATGCATTTGGGGTGCCATTTAAATGCATATGCAATGCACCTCTTACATCAGAACGCGTGGTAGGTGCGATTGCGTGGTGCAGTGCGTTATTCGCATGGGACTGTGCAATTAAGGCACTGTACTAGTGTGAATGGGCCCTCAAAATCACTGACAGACACACACAACCAGAGACACAATCTCACACACTCATATGCACTCCCAAAAAATTTTTTTTTAAAAACCCAACCACTATGGCACCATAAGAACAGTGAAATCAGACATCAACATGAGCAGATAATGCAATTCATGTTTATGCCAACACAATGAGGAAGAACACAAGACTTCAGTCAGCACTCATATGTGTTTGATACTCAGTAAGAAGGCAAAAGAATAAAAGGTAATATGTCCTCTTTACAGTAGATGTGCAATGGCTGTCTTACAGTCTTCCTTGAAATTGTTGGACTGTGTTACCTGGTTAATTAAAGCAAGGGTTTCCAAGGAGTAGCCAAGTGAGTGAGACATGTTTGCTCTTTCCAAATTATTAAGAGCGTTGCATGTTTAGCATGTATATTTCTTGCAAAAGAATGTGTTTTTCCTTCAGGTGTGTTATGGGGCAGTTGGCTATGGTTGAACTCTATAGGTATTTAATAAGTTAGACCTGGTTAACAGACAGGTCTGAGTTGAGATGTATGGGTGCCTGCAAAGAACGAACACCCCCCTTTGCTTCTTTATATGAATCGTCTAGTTAGGCACTAAAAACATAGCTTTCTGTGTTGATTGTTACGGTAGCACCATGAGTTGGATAGGGTTGCCATCTGTCCAGGATTCACCCGGACAGTCCGGGTTTTGAATGCTGTGTTCGGGTTTCATGGCAGCCGAAACCCGGACACAAGATGTCAGACAGACAGGGGCAACCAAAATTAAGATAGGGGCTACTGACCCCCCACTGAAAATAGTCTCACCGGTGATATTTACATATGAATGGGTGGTACTATTTGCATATGAATAAGCCACGACTTATTCTCCCCAAAAAATGTCTGTGCGTTGCTAGAGTGTTCGGGTTTGTCTTGCAGAAAAGGTGGCAACCCTAGAGTTGGACCCTTTTGTGAGGGTGAGTTTTGCAAAGACTGTTGTGCCAATATTAACATTCATTCCGTGAGAACTTTGAATTTGCAAAAATTCTGAACTGCCTGTATTCTATTTAGTGAGTTGCAGAGTATGCAGAGTTAAAGCGATATTAAAGCTTCATGTTTTTTTTTTTATTTGTATAAATATGAGGCCCATACATCAAGAAATTGTTTGGTGTTCAAAAAAACTGCCTGACCAGTCTGTGTCGCACTTAGTGTTCCTGGATAAGAAGAATGCCTGCAAAACAGCCTGTCCAGGCAGCTATATTTACAGGGCTGTAAAGTAGCACAATTATTATTTTATTTCATAAAGTGTCAGGTTACAGTGACAGTAAACTCAGTAGGTAAATACTAAAAATGCATTCAAGTACCTCAACTATTAACAAGAATGTACCCTTTTTGTGTATCACTGGGCTGTAAACCCTCAAATCATCATCTCATCACTCGAGGGTGGCTACTTTTATTCCTCATACTCCCTGTGTGTGTTGTAAAGTAGCCACCACTCCAAGCTCGCTTCTGTGATGGACTACAATCTCACATTTAGTTTACTAGTTTGTACTGAGATGATAGTCCATGGGGAACAAAGTTAGCCCCCCTCCAGAAAGAAGGACAGTGGCAGGGCCAATTCTGAGATGATTTGAGGTTCTACAGCTAAATGATATACAAATAAGCAAAGTTTAGTGTCACTTTAATGATTGCCTGTACTGTTCCCCAGGCAGGACTCCAACTTTTAATACCAAAAGAAGGTTTAAATCTGACTGGTTATTGTGGAGCATTACAGACAATTCTCACTATATGGCACCCCAAGAGTGATCCATGGACCACAGGTGATCCATAAATAGGATGATCCTGGTCTCTTTGACAAAGCTAACATTTTCTTTTTTTTCTGTTTGTATATTATGACTTTTGA